GATGCATCCTTTAATGCATCCTTTAATTTTGAATAATTGTCTGTCTGTTTTCCATTGTCAAAAGCAGTGAAAACAGATCATTTTTATCAATCATGTTTTAGCATGAAGCATTGGCGTTTCATTATTATGTTTACTTGTCCTCTTGCTTCAATATATTTCAATTTTAATCTTTTTTTAAGGGTTCTATTATTTTTCTGTCTAACTGAGAAAGTTGCAGAAGAAAATTGACAATTTAGACAAATCTAAACATGTTTTGTGCAACAAGAGTGATTCAGCCTTAAACCAAAGGCTAGCAACTGTCAGTCCTAAACATCTGAAAAGTCACAGTGCAGGAGAAAAGGAAACATGATCGACATTCAAACTGCAGCCAAAAGCTAAATAAAAACAACATCTCAGTGAAACTTCAAACCAAGGCTACCACTTTGGGAAAAACACTCGATTATCCATGCACACATTGGAATTTAATCCCAGAAAACACATTTTGATCAATAAAGAAAATCTCTGTGGTTTTCTAGTAACAGAAAGTGGTGCATTTATCAGAATAGTGTAAAATAATAAAGTAAAATGATTCTGAGACTTCATTATAAACCAGTTAACCCCTCAATTAGCCATCTGTTAGTAGAATAACTGGATATTTGCATATATATGTGTAGCAACAATGCATTTAATTAGTAACTCCACCAATCACTGTGTAAGAGGTGACCTTGTATTTATCATCCTTTTAAATGAATAAATGATAACGTCCTACAGACGCTCAGAGCAACTCAATTGCATGTGACCGTCAGTCTTCTTTCAAGTGATTAGATCACCATCGAAGCCTCAGGGAGACCTTGCATTGAACATTCAACTAATCACCACCTCTGCACTCGGAACAGCAATTTGCTGCACAATAAGAAGCACAAACACTGATATTAAAGCAACTCAAAGTGAAAAGAAGCAGCACTTAGCTGTCCAGCAGCAAAGACTTTCTTCATTATGCGTTACATTTTGAAGGTGGACGTTTATTTCTATAGTGCTGCATTTTTTTATACGGTCCTATTTTCCTAACCTCTGCTGAACACAATGTCAGTTTGATGGTGTAATTAAAGAGAAACTTGGGTGGCTAGGAGTGATCTGTAATCATTATCCCATTCAGTTTTTTTTATTATCATTATTTTAATCCTCCCCTTCCCCGTTCATTGTTTCAACATCGGTGTGGGAGAACGGCCGATAATAAAATGTAATATAATAGTGCAGGAGCTCAGTGGTGTGTCAGAATGTATTTTCAGTTGACTGCAGTTCAGAATAAAGCTGTAAAAAAACTATAAAAATGATGGGTGGTGCATTAATTGCTGATCGTACTGTGATTTTTATACAGTGGAAATAACAAACGGCTGTTAAGTACAGTTTTATTACAATGATTGCTGTTCTTCTGTCACACTAAGTGCTGCTGGGTTGTAACATCGATTTTATCTACATACTATTGATGAACTGTATTACAGCGGACATTGTTTCCCTACATTCCTACTTCTTATCAGTTGAGGCTCGAGGAAGTTTTGTGTTACCTTTTTTTTTTTGCAGTTCGTTCAACAAAAGCGTACACGCGATGCGTCTGCTGGAGGTTAAGCAGAGAAGACGGCTCTTTTCCAAATGGGATTTTGTGGTAATCTGATAGCGAAAGCAGTTCCAATGGCTCAGGTCGGTGTGGGGCTTTATTGGATGCTGGGGCTTGAACAAGCCTTGCATCAGCCGCTTTTGCAATAGCCAGCAAAGCCACGTATCTGGAAAAGCTGCAACGTGGTATTTGCAGGAGGGCAGGTGGCAAACGCGTTCACCATTCTACAATGTCAATCACACACACCAGCGGACAATGACGTGCGACGTTCCACTTATCAGGAACCAACCTATTAACCCAGAACCTGGAGGGGAGAATAAAGTGTCACAGAAGAACATCCGGGAGTAGGAGATCAGTCTGGTATAGTTCAAAACCAGATGAAAAACTAAATGTTGATTTCATTTTAGTTTGGCTTTTCATGTCAAAATCATGCAGGTTGAGATAGAAGACAACAAAGCGAGTAAAGATTTTTTTTGGCTAAAACTAGGTAAAGATTCACAGATGGCTTAGTAAAAAAATGCATGTTTCTCTGCAGGTCTTGACAACATCCAGCGGATTGCTGCTCAGGGCCGTTATGAGCTGAGGATCGACATGAAGGACGGGCAGGAATCAGTATATGCAAATTATGACAAATTCTCTATTGGAGATGCGAGAAACCTGTACAAGCTCAGAATAGGAGAGTACAATGGCACTGCCGGTACGTCGCTGAGTCATAAAAATACACACATGCTTATTTCTGTATATTTTTGTCTTATGCTCAAGTTATTTCCTAAAATGACAGTTATTATTTGTTTCATTTATGCTGACATGTCATTCTCTTCATATCCATCTGGTCTCAGGTGATTCTCTCAGCTACCATCAGGGCCGACCATTCTCTACTAAAGACAGAGACAATGACATCGCTGTCACAAACTGTGCCTTGTCTTACAAAGGAGCCTGGTGGTACAAGAATTGCCATCGAGCCAACCTCAATGGCAAATACGGGGAGTCCAGACACAGTCAGGTCAGTCCCCCGCCTCACAAGGTCATTAAAACGTTCAACTTAAAAGGATTACTCACTTTAATACACAAAGGTGGGAAACACTTATAGTGGAGCTTTGTTTTAATATGATTTTCAGTAAAAAAAATCCCCTTTTTGAGAGTTTTTCTCCCATAGGGCACCATCTACAGGTGGAAAAATGTATTGCAGCTTTAAGCCCCTCTACCCACTTCCTTGATTACGGGTCGAGCAACAAAACTATCATTCTCATGTTATGCTATTTATTCATACATAAATGGCCATGAGAAATGTCACCAACTCTGCATCAGTCTATGTAAGTCCGAAAATGCACACGCACGCTCTGTGACTGACATCTATGCGTAAATCGATGTTTAATATTATTGGCTAATGCTGGGTAGTGGTGAATTCAAATTACATGAGGCTCTATGGGACAGGGGGCGGGCTTAGCAAAAAAGTAAATAAGTAACTATACGTATAAATTGACGTGTTGCCTGCAATATATCACAGAACATGGTTGGACTATCATTTATGTTTATGTTTATGTATTTAACAGACCCTTTTGTCCAAAGCAACTTACAAGTTGTAATGGGTATGTTGCCCTTGATGCTAACAACAACAACAACAACAAAAACCAATTTCCAGTCAGTCGTAGGTGGCAGTGAGGCAGCATGATAAAATTATGGAGAGGAGGGAGCAAGTAGTGGACAGTACAGAGGGGGATGGGTGCAGGGAGTGTGCTAGTTTAGGAGATGCTCTCTGAAGAGCAGGGTCTTCAGGAGTTTCTTGAAATTCGAAAAGGAAGCCCCTGTTCTTGTAGTGCTTGGTAGGTCATTCTACATTTGTGGAACGATGCATGAGAAGAGTCTGGATTGTCCTGAGCATGGTGTAGGCACTGCTAGCCGACGATCCTGTGATGACCGGAGCGGCCTGGCCGAGACGTAAGCCTTTACAAGAGGATTCAGGTAGATGGGAGCCGTACCATCTCGGACTTTGTATGCTAGTGTTAGTGATTTGAATTTGATGTGTGCAGCTAGTGGTAGCCAGTGGAGCTCAATGAACAGAGGGGTGACGTGTGCTATTTTTGGCTGATTGAAGACTTGACGCGCCGCTGCGTTCTGGACCATTTGAAGAGGTCTCACAGTACAGCCTGGAAGACCAGTTAGAAGGGCATTGCAGTAACTGAGGTGGGAGGTGACAGTAGTTTGCACCAGGAGCTGGGTGGCATGTTGTGTTAGGTATGGTCCAATCTTTCGTATGTTATACAGCGCAAAGCGGCATGAATGAGCAAAAGAGGCAACATGATTTTTAAAGATCAGGTCTTCATCAATCACAACACCCAGATTTCGAACTGCTTTTGAAGGAGAGATAGGAAGTGATCTTGGATTGAGATATTGTGCTGTATGGATGGTTTTGCTGGGATGACAAGTTGTTCAGTTTTAGAGAGGTTGAGTTGGAGATGGTGGGATTTTATCCATTTTGATATGTCAGAGAGACAGTTTGATATTCGTACAGAGACAGTGTGGTCGTCCGTTGGAAATGACAGATAGAGCTGGGTGTCGTCTGCATAGCAGTGGTAGGAGAAGCCATGTGATCGAATGATCTCACCCAGTGAGATGGTGTATATGGCAAAGAGAAGAGGTCCTAGTACAGAGCCCTGGGGGATTCCTGTGGCAAGATGGTGCACGGTAGAGGACTGTCCAAGCTAAGATACACTAAATGATCGTCCTGTGAGGTACGATTCAACCAGGCGTGTGCTTTCTCTGTGATGCCCATGGTAGAGAGTGTGGACAAAAGGAAGCCATGGTTGACAGTGTCAAATGCAGCCGATAAGTTGAGCAGGATAAGCACTGAAGATTTGGCAGTCGCTCTGTCTTCTTTTAAGGATTCCATCACTGCTAACAGAGCAGTTTCAGTGGAGTGGCCATTTTTGAACCCAGATTGGTAAGGGTCAAGCAGTTTTGTAAGAGGTATTCTGTGATCTGCTTGAAAGCTACCCTTTCAATGATTTTTGACAGAAAAGGGAGGAGAGAGATAGGTCGGTAGTTCTCCACATGATTTGGAGGAAGAGATGTTTTTTTTAGCAGCGGTTTAACCTGAGCATGCTTGAGAGAGGTGGGAAATGTACCGGATGTCAGTGAAGCTGATTGTTGATCACGTTGTTGTGTCGATCACGTGTGACTGCTGTGGCTACTTTAGGAGCAATAGCTTGGAGCAGCTTAGTCAGAATGGGGTCGAGTGGATATGTAGTAGGGCGGCTGCACGTGAGAAGCTTGGACACACAGTTCTCACTGAGAGGGGAAATAGAGGAAAATGAAGCAGTAGGGCTTGAGATGGTTGGGCTAGAAGAAGTTTATGGTAGTGAATGTTCAGGAGTGGCCAGTTGAGTAAACTGTTTGCTTATAGCTGCCACTTTGTCAGTGAAGAATGAAGCAAAGGTGTCAGCTGATAGATTGTTGGTAGGAAGTGGAGACGGAGAGTTGAGCAGTTTTGAATGTCGAAAAATAGTTTCTGAGAGTCAGTAGAGCTGATAATTTTGTCTGTGTAGAAAGCTTTCGTTGCATTAGTGATGCTGGCAGAGAATGAGGACAGTAATTCATGAAATTTAAATTGATCACCAGGATCTTTTGTTTTGCGCCATTTCCATTCCGGAGCTCTAAGAGTGGTGCATAGAGACAGGAGGATGCCATCATACAGATTTCTAAAAAATCTTACGTAATTCCTAAAAGGGAGAAAACTCCAGATTGCTGTTCTTAATCAAATATTGATTTGTTGTAGTTAATTAAGTACAGTAACTGATTTAATGAGTCTGAATAAAACCCCTTAAAACTGTCAGCTCAACAAAACCCCATGTTTGAACCAGAGTCAGACAAAAAACAAAGAACTCCTGTGGCAGCAAAAATGCGATTTACCTACTGATCTTCAACCTTTCTTGGTTCTCTCAAGACATGTCGACAAATAACTTAGTCAAGAAGTCAAATAGTAGTTTATTGTAGAGTTTGGGGGTTCATTGTGTCATGTAATGATCTTTGTCGAGGAAAATGTACCTTTTATTGTGTTTTGACACATTTTCCATTCAGAAGAGAGGACATCTAAATGCATAATGAACAGGAAGGATAAAATACTGAAATTAGTTTCATACAACCATTTTCAATGCTAAACATCAGCATCTTGCAAATATTTAAAGACACTGAGTTTAACATGCAGGCTGAATGTGAAAATAGTCTTCTACATCTATTTCCTGCATTAGCTTCTGATCTGCATCATGCTGTTAATTAGCATCTCATCGATCTCGGCTCACAACAGGGATGGTCTGCTGTTGATTAAGTATTCAGAAAATAGCAGAAAACACCTCGGCTAGTTGAAGCCAACCATTACCATTAGCAACTCCACAACATGGTAGGCTTGTGTTATTTGTGGAGCAAACTGAGTCAATGGTAGAGTCACGTTGTTGTTAGCCAATCAGAGGCAAGATGTCCAAATATCATAGCCGGGCAAGCCATCCTATATATGTGAAAAAATAGGCCACAGCCCATTGACAGCTCTCAGTCATAGCACGGGATCTATGGTTGTCTTTCAAACTTTCTCTGCATGCTATTGGATAACCAACTAAGTTACATATTCACCACTACAGATGTCAGTCCACCATGTCCTGTTAAAGAAGACACAAATACATTGTTTTTGTAAATAAACATAAGTACCTGTATCTGCTCTTGAGTCAACAAAAGCCTACATCAAAATAGTCCAAAGGTAATGTCAAAGTTGTTTCAAATGGGCCATCGCCGTTTTTGCTATTTTCAGTAGCATACCGCCCACCAACAGAGAGCTGTGATTGGCTCACCAAACCAAGACAGCACTTTGATTGAACCGCTGTGGAGTTGTTATCTTAGTTTCGCTCAGTCACAGTAACATCCCACCCACATGGCTGATAGGGCACTCTGATTGGCCCACCAAACCATTAGAGCACCATGATTTAACCGCTGACTATATCAGTCATGAGGCAACCAGCTCTACTTCCTGAGCTACTGCTGCCCCCTAGTTGAGCTTTAAGAGACCCCACAGAAATGGTAACAACTGGTTCATGCTAAAAGCACATATCTTTTACTGTCCAGGAACAAACATGAGCTTTTTCTCAAACTGTTTCAAATCAAAACCAGTCTTCTTCTTTTTGGCCATTTAAGGGTCTATACACTATCACACAAAATGCAACATGAAAGCACAGTACCCTTTGCCGGAGGGTTTCACTTGAAGCTTTCATGTGAGTGACTGTGAGTCAGCTGTTCATTCAAACCAGATTTTTCTTTAAATGACATGCTACAAGGCAGACTTTATAATATGTAATATGGACGATAAAAAGACTGGACTACAAGCCATCAGGCTGTTCAGGAGCAGTGTCATTTTAACGAGAAAGAAAAAACTTCCCTTTGTTGTGTAATTGATGTTGGGTGATTTAGAGTTTTGCAAGACTGCAGGCCATAGTTCAGAAGGAGATGATATGAAAAAGCAAAGCATCTTCTGTTTGGTCTCTCCAGAGAACAAATAGTTATTTGTGCCTTTAAAAGCACATGGTCAACATCCCAGCGCAGATCGGAGATAACAGTGGCGTTTGTATATATTGAAAAAATCATTTGTCAAGTGTCTCTCTGCAGACATGGCCTGTGTGCCATTGTACTGTTTTTAACCGGAAAGCAGAAGTTAATTCTATTGGGTTTGGCTGACAGTGACTCATGTTGAGTTTCCTTTTGTGTTTGTAGGGAGTTTAGAAGGGATTTTTCTTCCCGTTTTATTTTTTTATTGTAAATATGAATGAACAAACTCTCATCTAAATGTCCTCCTTTGATGAGGTTGACATTTTGAAAGTGTTTTTGGCATTTGGAAAACTGACCCAAAAGGGCACCATTACAGCTCACTGATTAAAGGTTAAAACCTCTCAAACTGAAAGGGTAATAATTAGTAAATTAAGTCACATGAAATTCAACTGGAGTGCTCTGAATGGTGTGATGGGGAAGATAAAAGCAAACTGAAACTACCTCACAGCTACAGATGTATGAAGACAGCAGCAATCTGGAGTTTTCCCTCCTTTCAGGGATATGTGTGTGTGTGTGTGCGTGTGTATATATATATATATATATATATATATATATATATATATATATATATATACAATCCCTGAAAGGAGGGAAAACTCCAGATTGCTGCTGTCTTCATACATCTGTAGCTGTGAGGTAGTTTCAGTTTGCTTTTATCTTCCCCATCACACCATTCAGAGCACTCCAGTTGAATTTCATGTGACTTAATTTACTAATTATTACCCTTTCAGTATAATATATATATATAGGATAGTCTGGCCATGACCCATAGATGTAGCTCGGCCATGGGGCACACTGTCTCTGGATGCAAATGGACAGTGCTCGAACCAATCAGAGCAATGAACGATGTGACATACTCATCACTACAGAAATCACTCAACAGGGCAGTCCGCCATATGCTGTTGAATAAGAAGCAAATACATAGTTTTTTTTTAAATAAAAGACTTAAATGCCTGTATTGGCTCATGTCTCCAAAAAAAATCCCAAGTTTAAATTGTTTAAAGTTGATGTCGTAACTACTACAAACAAGCGCTCTTTCTGAGCCAAAGCCGTCTTTGTAGTTTTCTCTGCTGCAGCTGGGGTGCTAAGCCCACCAAACATCTCTCCACAAATATAGAGCACTGTGACTGGCCCATTCTAAAACTGTTTGATCCAATGATAGATGTGCTGAGGCTACAGTGGAGCATGGCTGTAGACCCATTGAAATTATTGTTTACATCTGGGTAACTGCGCACATCCACACAAGCTGAAGGACAAGAACCCCGTCTCCAACCATCATCCAGAGCTGTAGCTCCGCGATTTAACCCTTTGATGCATAATGGTCACTACAGTGGATAGGTAGTCAAAATTGATATTTATTTATTTTTGCTATTAAGCGCAGCTGTTGAAGACTTTATTGCATGTGAGCCCCTCCATTTGGGCTTCAGCAAGTCAAGCCAACGTATTTCATGTTCAGAATGCACGCTGTCCACTGAGGTGGACATGTAATTAATTATTTGTAAATTAACAAAATGTTACAAAAAATATTTGTTGAAATTTGTTTCATTCACACCTAAAGTTGAATGAAAAAAATTGTTTAAAAAATCATGGTTGAGGATTTCATAATTCATGCATCAAAGGGTTAAGCTAACAAAATAAAACCTAGGGATTTAGATCTTACTACTTTAGAATATCAAACACATCTTTGTGCAGATGAAAAATAAATAAATAAACATCTCAAAGCAATCTGTATTTGGCATAAAGCTTCCAGATCCACATTGGAAATAGCTAGCTTACTGTGGGGATGACAGTCCTCAGAATCGCCCATCTGGACTTAACACATCTGAACTGAAGGTGAAACCAGATCTCCTCTATATTTTGTGAGTTAATGCTGAACGATCGCCATGACAGCACTTGTCTTTGGAGATTAACAAATAATCCATTTATTCTAACGAGCACCGTAAACACAAATGAACAACATCAGCAGCTGCGTGCTTCAATTACACAACACATTATGTTTATTTATTATAACAATACTGTTACCACAGGTCACACAGAGTTACACACCATACCAGCATTGCCACTTTTCACGCACGTTCATTTCTTGATAGACTTTATTTTGCTGCTATTTAGCTTTGTTTATTGACAACTAACAGGTAAACACAACAATTGTCGAAGGGGAGGTACCGGCTTCTTGCCCTCTGGCGAGGGGCTGGGAGGCAGGGCTGTGGGCGCATGACGTCACCCTTCAATGGATCTATATGTACATGAATAAACAGCATAAAGTCAGAATAATAATTGTAAAACTTTGTGTTTTAGAGATGCACATTCACAAGCATGAGGTGTTGCTTCCAGCCACAGAAGTAGAGAGAGGAGCTTAAGGGTGCAATACATTATTCCTGCCTCTAGATGGCGTCCTTTGACAAAAGCTTTGGATTTGGGCTCTAAATATATTTCCTAAAGAATTTTGTTTATTTAACACTTTCCACTTTTCCACATTAGTTTTATACAAATAATTTAATCACTCATGATATGCCCAGGTACCTCAAAACTGAGCTTATTCTTCAGTACTGGAAACGCTGAAGTTTTGAAGGCTTTCAAACTGAGTATGACGTACAGCTTTTCTCACCTTCGTGCTGAAATGGTTCTAGAAAGCCACTGATGTGTTGTGTGAAGCTAAGATCAAGTGGAGTCACAAAAGCGTTAATGCTTTTCTCACTCAGCGTTCTGCTTTCCTAGTTTTTGATTGTTTAAACTGAGTACAGGTGGAGACAGAAACAAAAATGAAGAAAAGAAAAAAAGTGTGGGTGTGGAGCTATAGGTTTGCATTATGGCTATAACTGTTCCGATGTCATCGGCCTACGCGAGTATTTTCCTGACTGAAATCAAAGTCATTCCACTGAAATTAGAACGTTTCCTGCAGGCTTGTTCTATAATCTTATTGTTATGAAATGTTTTTCTAAGTAGATACGAGCAGCATGTAAGAACATTACACCCACATTTTCACTTTTACAGGGAATCAACTGGTACCACTGGAAAGGCCATGAGTTCTCCATTCCCTTTGTGGAGATGAAGATGAGGCCGTTTAACTTCCGCAGCATCAGCAGCAAGAGGAGACGATCTGCCCCTGAATAAACGACCCCCTCCCCCCCTTGCCCAGGCCACAGTCACAGATTAATGGAGTTTGGAACATGCTCAGAGTTAAGTTTCCGCCATCTACGTACACCACTGGCAGCACGGGCAGGCTGGATTCAAACATTGTTGAGACTTTTTATGATTAAAACGCACTAACCTCTTAATAAATTCTGTGAAAATAACAAATGAATAAAATGTTGTTATAATTATGAATGTGACAATAGACACTCGACACTGAATCTGAACTCTGTTGATCTCGGCCCCTGAGCTGTCTTTTCCTGCTGTACTTCTACCCAGATGATAAAAGACAATGTATGTAATTTATTAGCTACGATGAATGACAATGTTTGCTGTAAAAGATTAAAAACAATAAAAAAGCAACTAACAAAACAACAAAAACAAAGGGAAGGCAAACCAAGATGTTTTGTTTTACTGCAATCTGGGATTTGCCTTTCCTCAGGATGCTCGGAAATGTGCTCAGAAACGCCCTCAAGAGTGAGAGTTAGCGCTACTTTAGCCATTACGACTTTACACTTTTAACTAAAATATGTATATGCCCTTAAACCTGTTAACTGTAATATATCTATATTTTTATAACTAATATTGTGACAGAGTCCATTTATTTCATATGATTTGATGCCTTGATTTTTGAGCCTTGATTGAATAAACCTAAATAAGATGACAAGTAGTGGACTTGGATCGAAAAACTCACATGAAAAAGCAAATATGAAGATCCAGGATCATGGTTTGAAAAGCAGTTCACCAGCAGCAGCTTCATTTCCTTCGGTGTTATTTATTTTCTGTCGACTGCTGACTACTTTGTGTTTGTTACACATTTAGGGAAAAGTGGAAATGTGAATCACTAACCTTTGATTGCTGTGCTCGCTACACTGAACACTGCAGGGTTGTTGTTCATTCAAATCAGTGAACTTGTTTGGTCGTTCATGGGCATTAACTAATAACTGGATTTAATTTGAAGCTATTGTTTCAGTTATTGTTGTGGGTGTTAGTTGTGATTGCTTGCAGAGACGGTGCCAATTGATGCAACATTTAACCAAAGGCCTGCATTACAGACACTCGCTCGTCATTTCTGCCACCAAAGTCCATGCGGCTTTTTAATAAAGTCCCATTCATGGCAAACAAAGTTACCCACTCCACCCTCTGCATCATCCTTCTGAACTGTGATCACTAAATACTTTGCTGCTAGTGAGGGCAGAGCGCATTTTAGCCTGGCTTCAATCCTGCTGCTTGCTGAAATGAACTTAATGAAAGCAGGGCAGACGGTGGAGTGCAGTCAAACACTGGGCCATTTAGTCTACTGTGACTTTCTGTCTCAGTTTTAATGACAAATCATTCAAATAACTATTTGTCATCATCACTGCAAGCAAAGTTAGGAATTGTCTAAACAGTAAATGTGTTCATTCTTTTCTGCTTCCGTTGCTCCTTTAAAGTTCACATGTGTGCATTTTATTTACTATTTTTAGAGTGACTCTGCCCTCTATGACTACTTATATACTTACGCAGACGTAAAAACTGAGCTGTTTTATTGTTTCTCCCTTTTCGATGCAAACTAATTCAGAAAGCCCTATTAGCGTTTCTCTTACCAACGCCATATTTTCTAACCACTGCTGTGCTAAAGGCTGGATGGAGTCTGCTGCATGATGGAGATTGACAAATGTCCCTAAGTTCAGTTTGACTTGTTCTCACGTTTCTTTGTCAATCTGGAAGGACGTTGTGCTTTAAATAGGTATAATTTGATATTTTATGTTTTGCTGTCAAAGTATTTTAGATTTTTCTTATGCAATGAATTTCTCATAGTGATTTAGAGTAGAGTAGAATTTTCTCTGTTCTCGTTTCATTAGCTACCTAGATGGTGTTTCTCTCCTAGTTTTTGTATAAAAGACAAGAGGCTCTGCAGAAAAGAAACAGACTGTCATTTTTTTGAGAACATCTCTGATTGCAAATAACAAGGTGCTTTTATATTTAAAATGTTTGTTTCTCTCTTTTTCATCCTTCAGTTTCCCATTATTTTCCTCTTCATACGTTGGTTTAAAATGTTTTTATTTCATGGGATTAACACCAGGTTTTACTGCAAATGTGTTAAAATCAACTTAGTAATGTTTTCTTTTTTTTTAAATAACCTCAATTTGAGAAAAACCCGTCTTGTCTTAGACACATACCTCCAATTATGTGAAAATCTGAGCCTCAAAGATGTATACTTCATTACTATTCATTTTAGCATAATTTCAGATTTCATAGGTTAGTTTTTGAAATCCATCCATCCACCCATTTTCTTCTGCTTATCTGGAGTCAGGTCACAGGGGCAGCAGCTTAAGCAGAGAGGCCCTCTCTCCAGACTCTAGGTCCAGCTCCTCCAGGGAAACCCCAAGGCGTTGCCCGGCCAGCCGTGAGACATTGACCCTCCAGTGTGTCCTGGTCTTCCTTTAGGTCTCCCCCCAGTTGAACGTGCATGAAAAACCTCACCAGGGAGGCGTCCAGGAGGCATCCTAACTAGATGCCCGAGCGACCTCAACTGACTCCTCTTGATGAGGAGATGCAGTGGATCTACTTCTAGCCCCTCCCGGATGACCGAACTTCTCACCCTATCTCTAAGGGAGAGCCCAGACACCCTCTTGTTTAAGTGATCTTGTTCTTTCTGTCACGTGACCATAGAGGAGGGTAGGAACGTAGATCAACTGGTAAATCGAGAGCTTTGCCTTCCGACTCCGCTCTCTCTTCACCACAAGAGGCCGGTACAGCACCTGCGTCACTGCAGACGCAGCACCAATACGGCTATCGATCTTGCGCTTCATCTTTCCCTCACTCATGTTCACAAGTGGAAGGATGGATGATTAATTTAATTAGTTGTATTTAACTTTTATTGTTTTACATCATGTAAAGGGACCTTTGTTTAACAGTACAATGCCATTATTTTCAAACAAACCCATTATTTGATAGTTTAAACTAAGACTGAGCCTCAGTGACCAGGCTTTCTCCTCTATCACTGTTTGTACAGAAAACCTGATTTGCTTAACTGTTCTTTGTTTTCCATGTTTATGTCATCCCTGTGTTTTATTGAAGAAAAAAGGTAAAAATGCAATTATTTACCTTCACGGTTTGATTTACTGAGAATCTGTAACTGCAGTGATTTGATATCTTGCCGGCATGGAAATGTAAATGCTTAAAAATTGTTTTCTTGACTGTTGGAAAAGCTCTTATAAGCTGAACCTTAGGATTTATTGTTGAATAACCTTGGATATTGCTGTCAAATTTAGCTCTAGTTTGACTTAAACCTGTACTATATACTCCCTTTTTTAATACATTTTCTACATATTAATAAAATACTCAAAAAGAATAAAACATTTGATTTCTGTTTCCACTTTTTTAAGGCTCAACTGCAGCTGAAGGAGTCTCTGTTTGGAGAATTGGGAGGAAGTTTCATGAGCTCATTCAGGAGGGATTTTCTTTTATCAGCTTAAACTCAAACTGTATTAAAGTAACGGTTCACATATGTTAAAGTGGCTTCATGTGGATAGGTTATGAATAACAATAATAGTAATAATAATAATACTTATATGTAGTTTTTCGAGTGGCTTCAGTTAGAGTAACTCGCATCTAAACTAGCAGACCAATAATAAAATAGTTTCAACAGGACCAGTTAAGTGTCTCAAATCTTCCAGCCGTTTATACATGTTCTATATTACCTAAACAATTCAAATTTCAATGGTATTCTAGCTGTAAAATTATGCAAATGTATCCAAAATGTACATAATTAAATAATTCACGTAAATAAACGTAGAATGAAATTTTGTGTAAAAGTTAATAAAATAAAAATGAGTGAAAACCGTGGAGGTGAGGACTGAAATGCAGGTAAATCCAAAGGCAGCCAGGTGAAGTTAACTTGTAGTCTTTAAAAATGAACATTTTCTACAGATAGACCACACACACATGAAAAACATTAAGAAACCAAAATATGAGTAGTGAAGCTGAGGGGGTGAGTGGGGACTGACCTCTCAGACAAGGTATGGGAGGGACTGAGACATGTTACTAACTAGTCAAATGTGGAAAAGGACTTGTCAATAGCTGAGATGCAAGCACAACCTTACCCCACTTCAATGCTGCCTGACTTTCTGCCCCTATACCTGTGAGTGTGAACTACTGCCCCTAAAGACTCTTTCACATTGAATGCAGTATGAAGGCAGAACGAGTTCCAGACGGACTATTATTCAAGCTGACTGCCGTTTGTGTGCTGAACATTTCCAGAAATCTGCCCCCACATGAGCACCAAATGATTAGAAATTTTACAAATTACATTTGAAAATGTAAATAACATGAACTTTCACCTGTAAACGGATTCCCCATTATCACTAACTAAACCAAAGCCAGCAAAAAATTATGGGACACAGGTTTTATTTTGAATTAAAGCGGATTCACCTCGCTGGATTCAGGACGATTCCCATGCCAAGTCTGGGAAGAAAATTGACTCCACACGGAAACATTCCAGAGCTCCTCAAATGGATCCATGCTGCACAGAAGCAGGTGTGAATGCTCTGATTGGACTCGATGTTTGATGCATTTGGAAGCCGTACACAAACCAGATCATATCCACATTCTGTGTGAAACGGGCTTAAGTCCACCTACAGACTACAGACCAAAATTCACCCATCGTGACTAAATGTCTGGAGGAAACTGAATTTAAAAAAAGCTGGGAACAATAATCAAGGGAACTGAGGAGAATGATGCTAGTATACAGAAACAAGACGACTAAGAAACTAAACGACTAAACACAGAGGAACAGGAGTACAGAACATGACTAATCTGTGTTTCTCCAAACTAAGGTGATTCAAAGTGTCACTTTACGAGGATGGTTTGGACCCAAAAATGCAGATACCCAGGATGACACGAGGCAGGATTTGATGTGTAAAGTAAAAATCATTTTATTGTAGGAAGAACAAAAATAAATCCAAGTGGCAGCGAGCCAAAAATCCAAGAGTACAGAGGACCGACAAGACACTGAGACAAGACATGGCTTAAATACACTGGGGCATGATGGGAGGATGATGAGCTGCAGGTGTGAGGGGAGAGAACCAGGTGAAAGTGATAACTAATCAGGGAGGAGGAGCAGGAGAGAGGACACCAGACCTAACTGAGAAGGACACACACACACACACACACACACACACACACACCTAGCTGGAGGAGGACATAAACAAACACACACACACCTAGCTGGAGGAGGACATAAACACACACACACACCTAGCTGGAGGAGGACATAAACACACACACACACCTAGCTGCAGGAGGACATAAACACACACACACACCTAGCTGCAGGAGGACATAAACACACACACACCTAGCTGGAGGAGGACATAAACACACACACACACACACACACACACACACACCTAGCTGCAGGAGGACATAAACATACACACACACACACACACACACACACCTAGCTGCAGGAGGACATAAACATACACACACACACACACACACACCTAGCTGGAGGAGGACATAAACACACGCACACACACACACACACACACACACACACACACACACACACACACACACACACACACACACAAACACTGAGCTGGGGACAAGAGGCTGGAGCTGACCTGGGAGGAATGATTAAAAAGGGTAACAACATAAGACACTTAACTGAGACGCAGACAAAAGACACATGAGGGCGCTATGAGACTTCGTCTTCGTCTTTCTCCGCTTATCCGGGTCCGGGTCGCGGGGGCAGCATCCCAATTAGGGAGCTCCAGGCCGTCCTCTCCCCGGCCTTGTCCACCAGCTCCTCCGGCAGGACCCCAAGGCGTTCCTGGACCAGATTGGAGATGTAACCTCTCCAACGTGTCCTGGGTCGACCCGGGGGCCTTCTGCCGGCAGAACATGCCCGAAACACCTCCCCGGGGAGGCGTCCAGGAGGCATCCTGACCAGATGCCCAAACCACCTCAACTGGCTCCTTTCGATCTGGAGGAGCAGCGGTTCTACTCCGAGTCCCTCCCGAATGTCCGAGCTCCTCACCCTATCTCTAAGGCTGAGCCCGGCCACCCTACGGAGGAAACTCATTTCGGCCGCTTGTATCCGCGATCTCGTTCTTTTGGTCATTACCCAAAGCTCATGACCATAGGTGAGGATTGGGACGTAGATCGACCGGTAAATCGAGAGCCTGGCTTTCTGGCTCAGCTCCCTCTTCCCCACGACAGATCGGCTCAGCGTCCGCATCACTGCAGACGCCGAACCAATCCGCCTGTCGATCTCCCGATCCCTCCTACCCTCACTCGTGAACAAGACCCCGAGATACTTAAACTCCTCCACTTGAGGTAGGACCTCTCCCCTGACCCGGAGGTGGCAAGCCACCCTTTTCCGGTCGAGAACCATGGTCTCAGATTTGGAGGTGCTGATCCTCATCCCAGCCGCTTCACATTCGGCCGCGAACCTACCCAGCAAGAGCTGAAGGTCAGAGCTGGATGAAGCTAGGAGGACCACATCATCCGCAAAAAGCAGAGACGAGATTCTCCTGCCACCAAACTCGACACACTCCACACCACGGCTGCGTCTAGAAATTCTGTCCATAAAAGTGATGAACAGAACCGGTGACAAAGGGCAGTCCAACCCTCACTGGGAACATGTCCGACTTACTACCGGCTATGCGGACCAAACTCACGCTCCTCTGGTAAAGGGACTGAATGGCCCTTAACAGAAAGCCACCCACCCCATACTCCTGGAGCGTCCCCCACAGGGTGCCCCTGGGGACACGGTCATAAGCCTTCTCCAAATCCACAAAGCACATGTGGATTGGTTGGGCAAACTCCCATGCCCCCTCCATCACCCTTGCAAGGGTATAGAGCTGGTCCACAGTTCCACGGCCAGGACGAAAACCACATTGCTCCTCCTCAATCTGAGATTCAACTATCGATCGGACCCTCCTCTCCAGTACCTTGGCGTAGACCTTTCCAGGGAGGCTGAGGAGTGTGATCCCCCTATAGTTGGAACACACCCTCAGGTCACCCTTCTTAAAGATGGGGACCACCACCCCGGTCTGCCACTCCCTAGGAACTGCCCTCGATGACCACGCAATGTTGTAGAGACGTGTCAACCATGACAGCCCTACAACATCCATAGCCTTGAGATACCCAGGACGAACCTCATCCGCCCCCGGGGCTCCGCCGCTGTGTAGTTGTTTGACTACCTCAGCAACTTCTGCCCCCGAGATCGGACAGTCCATCCCCAGGCCTCCCAGCTCTGGTTCCTCCTCGGAATGCGCATTGGTGGGATTGAGGAGCTCCTCAAAGTATTCCTTCCACCGTCCGACTATAGCCTCAGTTGACGTCAGCAGCTCCCCATCCCCACTGTAAACAGTGTGAGTGAGTTGCTGCCTTCCTCTCCTGAGGCGCCGGACAGTTTGCCAGAACCTCTTTGGAGCCGATCGATAGTCTTTCTCCATGGCCTCACCAAACTCCTCCCACGCCCGAGATTTTGCCTCGGCAACTGCCACTGCTGCACCCCGCTTGGCTATCTGGTACCTGTCTGCTGCCTCCGGAGACCCACAGACCAGCCACGCCCTGTAGGCCTCCTTCTTCAGCCTGACGGCTCCCCGAACCTCTGGTGTCCACCAGCGGGTACGGGGGTTGCCACCACGACTGGCACCGGCCACCTTACGACCACAGCTAGCAACAGCCGCCTCGACAATCGCAGAGTGGAACAAGGCCCACTCGGAGTCAATGTCCCCCACTGCTCTCGGGATGTGGTCAAAGCTCTGCCGGAGGTGGGAGTTGAAGACCGTCTTGACAGGTTCTTCTGCCAGGCGTTCCCAGCAGACCCTCACTATGCGTTTGGGTCTGCCAGGTCTACGCGGCATGTTCCCTTGCCATCTGATCCAACTCACCACCAGGTGGTGATCAGTTGACAGCTCCGCCCCTCTCTTCACTCGGGTGTCCAAAACATACGGCCGCAGGTCAGATGATACGACTACCAAATCTATCATCGACCTGTGCCCTAGGCTGCCCTGGTACCAAGTGTACCGGTGGGCATCCTTATGTTCGAACATGGTGTTCGTTATGGCCAAACTGCGGCTTGCACAGAAGTCCAATAACAAAACACCGCTCGAGTTCAGATTAGGTGGGCCGTTCCTCCCAATCACACCCCTCCAGGTCAAGCTGTCATTGCCCACGTGAGCATTGAAGTCCCCCAGCAGGACAATGGAGTCCCCTGATGGAGCACTATCTAGCACTCGTCCCAGGGACTCCAAAAAGGGTGGGTACTCTGAACTGATATTTGGCCCATAAGCACAAACAACAGTCAGGACCCGTTCCCCGACCCGAAGGCGCAAGGAAGCTACCCTCTTGTCCC